GCATATGAGCATGTTTGAGTAAAACATTATTCCATTAAATAAAAATCATAGGGAAGTATTTAAAACAGAAGTTGTCATTAATTTTCAGGGCTACTATTTAGAAGTGCAAAGACTTGCTTAAATTTTTGTGACAAGGGAAAGGCTTCTAAAATTCTAGTTTTCAGTCGACCCCGAAGAACATCTTCGGTGGCTAAATATACATGGATATTAATTAATCCACAGCGACTCGTGCCAAGCGGCGACCGCATTGGTCCACAATCTCGGATCCAGCAAACTGCTCTTAACAGTTTAGCGGCTTCGGCCAAAATAAATAAAAATCAAAAAAATAAATAACAACAATAAACAACAGCCCAGCCACAATCATTTGGATGTGGATGTGGATGATGATACCAGTTTGCCTCAACCTTGAGCGGAGCGACAACCACATTTGCGTACCCAGTGCGAGGTACGAGATTCGAGTTACCAGTACCACGAAGATGAAGAGCACTTCTTGAGCGGCGCGGCGACTTTGTTTTTGTCGCCCGGCGATAATGCGGATGCGAAAAAGTGAATGTATAGCCACTCGATGACGTTGCGGTAGCCTCATCTTGGTACGTGACAGAACCAAAAGGCAGCATGCGACTGGTTTCGCTGCGATCCCAAATATTTTTAGCCACAATATCCAGTAGTTGATTCGCCGAAGAGGTGCTTGGTAAAACACGGAAAAGGTATCAGTGGTTTCATAATACCCAAGCAGTGATCGTGACTCATCTTCTGCGGTTCATTGATGGGTAAGCGCAAAGAACAATCCTCAAATGTTGATTTACAGCACATCATTAGTCCCAAAAAACACATTTCTACATTTCAATCAAAAAGTTTTAATTACCTAATCAATCTTTGTGCGTTGCCAAAGGTTCCGTCGATAAAAAAACAACACGAAATACATTCATGCTTAATATTTTTAGCCATCGCTCTGGTTCATTGGTTCATTGCTCCTTTTGCCCATATTATGACTGACATTTTTCATTATCTAAGCGAACATTTATCTTCATTTGATTTCGATCATTTGTAAATCTGCAGAACTGGTTGGTAACACGAAGCCAACTTCATGGGTTTCAAACACTTGACAAAAGGGAATCAAACCCATCTCAGGCGATATTTCATTAAAATTTATAATGGCGAAGACTTAAAATATGTGTAATCGCATGCGAAGGCAAAAAACAAAGCAAAGCTTTAATCTGATTTAAATTAAAATAATTCCACACTTCGATTTTACGTAGTATCGATACCAAAATATATATTTATTTATTTATGTACCTGATATTATAATAAATTAATATTTATTGAAAATCTGTTCGTTGGTGTTAACTTACATTATACATTTGCATGTTTGTTGAAGTTAAGTGAGATTGATTTAGTTAACTTAGCAGTTTATCTTGCATCGGTGTAGAAATAATTATAAAATAGTAAACTATTGTAAGTAATATTTGGCTTTCCATAAAAAGCACAATCGACCCTGATTTTTGAAAAATCTTAGCTAATGGAATCATTTATCATCTGTGTCGCTTGACCTTAGCACATTCAATCCAAAAGGTTCGGTCCACGCTTTAGTTTTTACATTTTAGTTTATCAATTCCGAGATGCGTTAAATATTTGCACTTGTTGATATGCGTGACCTCTAAAGCCACTTGATTAAATATTAAACTTACTTGCTGCCCAAAAACCGGCGTATAAATAGGCGTCTGTTGGTCCCAACTTGTTTATGAAAATGGTCGAAAAACAATAATCCGACGTCCTGAAATGTTAGATAATAAATTTCAGACTATAATTGATTAGCGAGTTCATAAGTTTTCGCTATGCTCGGGGGTTTCCGTTTGAGTTTAATAACCTGTCCCAAAACCTGCGTCATAACCCATTCGAAAAAGTTGCTCGAATAGTTTGATATAATCTATTCTATGTATGGTAAAGATTCTGAGAATAAACGTCATTTATGCGACTTATACAATCAGATTTTATATTAAACTAGAAGGGGGTCCCAAAGAAAAAGGTCGACAAAAACGTCATACAAACTACTGACGCACATTCTATACCTCAACATTATATTTAAAACGAGAATAATGAAACAGTTTTCTTATCTTTAATTATTAATCTTATTATTATAAAAAACTGTTCTATTTTTTTTTACATTTTATCACTAAGTAGTGAATTTATCATTGAATTATCACTGCAAGTGCAACGATATTTTTTTAAGTGAATAAAAGTTTTTACAAACATAAGCTTTAGCGAAGACACAAACCTGCACACAGCTATGCCCGCACTCTTGCCATCCTGCTCTCGCGCATGACAAAAACGCCGGCTGCAGTACAGCCATCCCGCTCCCACCCAGCAAGAGCCAAAGAAAGCAGCCGCCGCAAAATTGCGAGAAATCACCGAACTAATTTTTCTGCGCTCCTGTTAACGGACGCGCGATACAACAAATCGCACTACACAAAATGAAATTTGAAAAAAACTCACTTCACAATGCCAGCCAACGAAAAGCGAGAACGCTTTGCTGCTGGCCGCATTTTTCTAACACCAGTCACAGGGCCCAAACCGAAATGCCCCACATCCACCTGTTGATCGCCCTGCAGCAGCAAGTGGGCGGTGGAAAGGGGGGTAGGAAAAGCGGTCGGGAAAAAGGGGCGGAATGGGGTGTTCTCGAGCGGCTGGCAAAGGGTTCGAGTCAATCGGATGAGAAACCAATTACAATTGTGATTGCCAATAGGCTCGGGACCTATCATCATCGAATGCAATGGCCAAACAATGGCCAATGCCACATGAAGCACGAACTCCACCCACCTAATTGCAGATGAACGAGGAGCGCGGCATTTAAAGGTGCTGCTTCCGAAAGGGAAACCTGTTCGTTCTTCAGAAGACTGCGATGAGATTCTTCGCCTTATCGAATGGGGCATCATCAGATCGTTTTGCAGCTCCTGCCCCTGCCCTGCCCTTGCCCCTTCCCCTGCCACTGGTTACTGCCACCTCCGGGGCACAAGGGCCACTCGGCCAGTTGGCCACTTTGGCCTGTAATGGCCTTATCCCCGCTTTAAAGCATTTCTGGTTGGTCTGTCATTTCCATTTCTGCACCAGTCACAGTAAACAGCTGACGCCGGCCCGGCTATCACTTAAATAAAGGGAGGTTTACGACACAAGCCGCACTGCATATACTCTTTAAGGGAGAAATATTTCAAAAAGGTCGTGTTTTACCATACTAATGCTATTTTAAGTTGTCAAACGAATTTATGCCACAATTTGTTAGTAAACTTACCCGAAAGCATAATTAAAATGATAGTATTAAAATTTTCAGGTTTTAAATGACTTATAATAAATTGCCTGCATAGTAACTACACTAACTAAAGAATAGGCTGGTTGACCATCAGAAATCGCACGTCTAGTATGTATACAACAAAACAAATATATTTTCAAAGTTACACTATGGTGTCTTAAGAACTAGACGAGCAATAGTAACACAAAGCTATAGTACCGGGCTGTGAAATACCTAATAAAATAGTACCCCTTCGGCGAGGGTATGAAAACAATACACGCCATCCATGAGCCATTTGTGGCACTGTGTGAGTGCGCAGCTGTGACGGCAGCCAATAAGAGCCACCATCCAACTATATGAGGGCAAACACCATCTGGGCGATCCTGAGTGCCTAGTGCGCGGTTTGTGTCATTCGACCAACACAAATTTTGAAGTTTTTTTCCTGAATTTCTCGCTGTTCGAATGCAGGCACTGGGCGAACGCTTGCCGACCAATAAACTGAACAGCAATCCCAATCCCAGTGCAGGAAGGCTGTTTGGCAGCCAAACCACCAACCAAAGTTGCGACGAATAAAAGAAGCAGAAACCGAACTCAACTGAGTATCTGTATCTGTATCTGCATCGGTGTTTGTGTGCTCTGTATCTGTGACCGCTACTCTCTGTGTGCGTGCTTGTGTGTGTGTGTGTGTTGCTGTGTGCGGGTGTGTGTATCTGTTCCGCCGGATTGCTCGTATCGATTGGACACTGCTCGACGGTCTGGGCATTTCTGAGCGCCTGGCTAAAATATCGGTAGTTTTGTTGGCCGCGTGACGATTGCCGCGTGACTGAAATTGATTGGAATCGGTATCGATAAAGCAAACTGCTTCCTGTCCTGGCGATCAGGTAGGCAATTTAAGGATAAACCTGGTTCTAAGAAGCCCTGATATATGTAGCTAGAGATAATAGCGAAAATCAACGGAGAAATGCGCCAAATATAGAATTTATATTGTAATATGAGTTGAATAGGAAAGAGTCCCTATTGTCCAAACCGTTTCTATATACAATACAAATCATTGTCAAAATGACGAGTGAGTTTCGTCGGAAACGATTTTGTTATACGACTGTAGTTGTAGAGACCAAATGGTGATGAAAACCCAAAATCTGAAGTACAACGAGTAACGAAAGTAACACCCACTCAACAGGTGTGAGCCATACATTTTTGAAAAGGTATGGGTTTAGTCCAAGCCGTTTGCAAGACACTGAGAGAAATATTTGTAATAAAGTTGCAGTTATTAGTAAAATGTTGCATACTTTTCGGTGATGATCGCATTATGTTTTCCATGCAATGTTTTTTTTATTTATATGCATATGTATATGGCGTGAAGGGTGTAATTGTAATATAAAAACTTTCTAAGCTTCTAACAAAATTCTTAAAAAATAACAAGTTTATATAAAAAGCTTTGTAATGAAGAGTGTCTTTAAGACTGGTCTAGTTGGTATTGGCCCGATTTAAATAGGCTCTGTAGCATGGAAATAGTAGCGTGGAATCAACATAAGACGCAATCAAATGCTGGCCGACTAAGACAATAAAATGAGCGAAGAAACAGGTCGAGTTTGCCAGCAGCGTTTGGCTAGAAAGAGCAAAAGCCAAGTTAAGAAAGTGCTCAATTCGGTTGGTTTTTATGCTGGCCGACCATTTCTTCTGCCATTGTGTAAATGTGAATCCCGCACAATGGATAAAGGCAACAAAATAGAAAAAGCGTTGGCTTGGGCTCGAGTTTTTCTGCTATTCGCCAGACCAGCGATCATCAGTGGGGATTGTGAGTTCAGGCTAGACGGACGTGAGTGCTTAGGATCGGATCGTGCGAGTCGAAATCCGAGACGAACATATAGGAAGACGGAGAAATTCCAGCGAGTTTCATTTGCATTTGTGCGGCTCGATTAATGCGCTCCATCAAAAGTGATCAAGTTGCGCATGCCCAGTGCCATTTGTGTGCCGTGCCACAGCCCTAATCAGCCATTCAAGCCGCGCATGCGCAGTGAATTTTAAAAAACCGAACCCAAACTCATACCCAAACCCGAATCGAAACTACCGCGCACGTGTGGCCCACGTTGAATTGCCAAGGGCGTGATATAAGCCAAAATACCCATCATCATGACCGCTGCAGCGGGTCTCTTGCACATGGATCATCCGCTTAGAGCCACCTTTCAATTCTTCCTCGACTTGATGGTGTTTGCCATTAAGTCTGTATATTACGTACTCGAGTCGATTTACTACAGTCTGCTGCCGCAGCGTTTTAGAAAGTTAAAGGTACCATGGAAATGTGTATATTTTATTTGTAATGTGATAGACTTTCCTTCCCCGACTGACCCCGATTACACAACGCCGTGTCAAGAGACACCCACAAAAAATATATTTTTAAGGCAGCTTCCAGTTCGGCACTCCAAATCAATCATTGGTAGAGCTACCTTAAAGCCATGTCATTTGTTTTTTTTATTGTGCAAACCGCCAGTTTTGGCCATTTCACAAATCTTAATGAGCCACGCGCAGTTTCGTGGTAATGAAAACAAATCATGTTTGCTTTTTCTGAAGCAGTCGAACATATGATACTTATGATTTATGAATCTCACGCTGAGAAATTACTGGCAAACAAGAAAATCTAATATTTTAATTCAGGCGTAGGGCAGCACGTTGTTTGCTGATTTGTACGGAGTCTGAAAACTTTCCAATTTATTTATACCGTCTGCAAATCTTAAGCAAATGTCGTAAAAAACCTTTGAACAAACACCTTTCTTTGTTTTGATACGCCTCGATGGTAAACAATTTCGTTCACACGCTTTGCTGACTATTCATGAATGAACCCAGCTCTGTTTTAAATATTTGTTCGCTTCTGCAAAGTTTAACCATGATACAAGCTTTTAAAATATTTGTTTAAATATTTGCTTTAATGGAGCTTTGTCTTCAATTAACCGTAGTCCATGGCTGACATTGAACTTAAGCTATTTACATTTTGGGTATATATGTTTGTCAAAGTTAAACACATCTTCAGTTTGACCAAAAATATCCGTGACTTGACAGTCCAATAAGCAGTAACCAACTTAGTATGACAACAAGTTTTTCCTCATTCAAAAGGCAATGTCTTTTCCTTAGTCACGGTGCACGCTCCACGCACACCAAAAAAATAAATTGCATAGATAAGTATATAGAAATTACAAGCAATCGAAAAGAAAAAGTTGGGATCTGACTAGCAGACAGCAGAAAGTAGCTTCCTTAGCTGCATTGTAACGATGGAAACCGATATGCCCTGCTGTAGGGGATTGAACTCAGATGAAATTATTGAACTTTGTCAACGAAATAAAAGCTGGTGGGCACTCTTGCAACATCTGTCTTATATTATGATTCAAGCATATGTGGCAAGCCATTCGTTGGCCGAAGTAACAAACTTAAATTATGCAAAATGCCCAAGTCATTCCACATGCAGTCGCACCTTTTTCATATGCTAAATAGTTTGCTTATATATATGGATGTACATATATTGTTATTTTATGACTACGGAATGAAAATGATGTGAAAAATTATTGTACACAATATACTATCCTATTTAAACAATTAAAGCTCTATAATTAAAGATTGCTTGTAAATTATTATTCACAACAGGACATCTCTGGCCAGGTAGTGCTCATCACAGGCGGAGGCGGCGGTGTTGGACGCTTGATTGCCCTAAACTTTGCTCGACTTCAGGCCCGCATTGTCATCTGGGATATAAATCAAGAAGGTGGGGGTCTAAGAAATCGCACCTAGATGCTAATGACGCCGTCACAGCTTCCGAATAGCGGGTCAAAAAACTCGTCGACTAGTGAAAGCTGTTACATTTACAATTTGATTAGCTAAACAATATTTGACAATAATTTTCCGCGCAGCCATTAAGACAGCTGTGGATTTGCTGGCCAAACATGGTTATGACAACTGCAAGGGCTACGTTGTGGACATCTCAGATCGGGAGCAGATCTACCAGCGGGCCAGTCAGGTCACCGAGGAGGTTGGTCCCGTGGATATACTGATTAACAATGCCGGAATTGTGTGCTGCAAGCCCTTCTGGGAACTGCACGATCGGGTCATCCAGAACACATACAACATCAACATCATCTCGCACTACTGGACCGTGAAAGCGTTCCTGCCGCACATGATGCGTAATAATCGTGGTCATATCGTGACCGTGGGCTCGATAACTGGAATGCTGGGCACCTACGGATGCAGTGATTACGCGGCCACCAAGTACGCCTGTATCGGTTTCCACGAGAGTTTGCTCACCGATCTGAAAGCCCATGGCTACGATCAAGTCCAGATGAGTTTGATCTGCCCATACTACATCAATACTGGCATGTTTTCGGGTGTCCGTCCGCGGATGATGCCCATGCTGGAACCGCAGTATGTGGCCGATCGCATCGAAAACGCCGTTCGCTGCAACGAGGTGTGGTGCGTCCTGCCCAACTCTATTCGACTGCTCACTCCTCTCAAATGGTAAAGTAATCTATTTAACATAGTTATATCTAATGCAATTAACCCTGGTTTTCTCAGTCTTTTGCCCGCCAAAATGTGCTGGGAGCTGATGTCGCGTGTCATCCGTGGACCCGAGTCTATGATGATGTTCCAGGGACGAGGGCGCGTTGCCGCTGGTTAAACTCAGCTTATGTTGTTCTTCAACCTATAATTTTACAATAAACTTAATTATTTGATTTAATAAACTACTCTAATAGTCTTACATCTACCAATGAGGCCTTGGTTCCTGCTAATCCCGCACTGTGGTCTGTTGGTAGTAATGCGGAGCCAGTTCCGTCAGCCACTCTCTCTTGATTACGGTCACGTAGTTAATGAACAATTTCGTGGTTTGAAGCAGTTCCCCGTAGACCACATACTGAGCTTGAGGTAGCGTGTAGAGAGTGGAGTTCGGATGAATCGCAAGTTCAGTGCCGCTGCTGATTTGTCGATATACTCCGGAGTGGTGCAGATAGGCCACCTGAGTGAAGAAGCCGGCGGTGATGCACTTACACAACGTTTCCACATTGCCATTGCACGAGAAGATTGGAATGCCATACTTCTTCCTTGCCAATGTGATGAGCTGCTCCCTCAGCTCGTGGGCCCTCTTAAGATTCCTATAGATGAGGTAGTATTGGCCACAGAACTCCTTGGTCATGCCCTCCTCCACGAAGCCAGTGTAAACGTTCAACATCGTAATGAAATCCCCTTCCGCGACTTCGAAGTGCCGATGTGCAATGCGTCCACTTTGTTGGGCAACCGCCGAAGCAGGGCGCGAAAATATAGATTGCACCTGGAGCAACGCAATAATGGTTATGATCTCCTCCGAGCAGCCCATCTGACCAGAAACGTATAGCATTTTGGAGAGCATAGCGTTGAAGGGCAGTTCGGCAAGCAGGTAACCCACAGGCTGAGTCAGCTTGCCCTGCTCATCGATGGCGTCCAAGGCAAATAGACCCTCCAATGCGGATAGAAGATTCTGTGCCGGTGGTGGCGATGGGAAATCAAAGCGCAGTATGTTCCCGATGCCCAGCGCTTTTAATTGCAGGACAGCACCGCTCATTTCGCTGCGTCGCATTTCGGGTGGTTGTCGAGGAGCTAGTGCATCATAGTCTGATTTAGTGTACAAACGATAAACCTTGCCGGGACGCATGCGACCCGCTCGTCCTGCTCTCTGGATGGCCGACGCCTTGCTGACGGGCACTATCACCAAACTGTCGCTGCAGGTTTTGGGATTGTACCACTTCACTTTGACGTAGCCGCAGTCTATCACATAAACGATGCCTGGAATGGTGATGGAGGTCTCTGCTATATTGGTGGCCAACACCACTTTTCGAGTTCCTTTGGGCGGGGTAAAGAACACAGCCAGCTGATCGGTGCTCGACATACTCCCGTACATGGGCAGCACCTTGAGATTCTCCTGCTCCGAGCTGGCGATGTATTCGCGCAGGAGATCCAGCGCCTCCAGGACTTCCTCCTGACCGGTTAAGAAGGCCAGAATGTCGCCAGGCGGCTCTTTTTGATGGAGTTTCCAGACGGTCTCCACCGTTTCCTTGACATAATCGGCGCATGGTTCGTTGAGATAGAAATTACTCACTGGATGCATCCGACCTTCAATGCTTAGTTTAACGCTCACTTCTCCCGATCCTGGCCAGCTAAAGAACTCGCTGAAGAAGCCCGCATCTATGGTGGCCGATGAAATGATGAGCTTGAGCGTGCTGCGTTTTCGAAGAATCTTCTTGAGCAGCCCCAAAACCATGTCCGTGAGCATATTCGGCTCATGCGCCTCGTCCACAATGATAACACCATACTGGGTAAGCAGCGGATCGGCTAGGAGTTCGCGCAGCAAGATGCCCTCGGTCATGAACTTGATTTTGGTCTCCACGGTCATCTTTTCCAGGAAGCGCACTACATAGCCCACCGTGTCCCCTACTAGTTCGCCCCGTTCCTGGGCCACGCGATTGGCCAGGGTAACCTGGAAATGGAGTCTAAGTTTAGATTTTATAGGTGTAAAGGACACGGGTTACTTACGGTGGAAACACGTCGTGGTTCGGTGATGCCTATGAGTCCCTTGGTGTGCCAGCCCCACTCATATAAATATTGTGGCACCTGGGTGCTCTTGCCACTGGGAAATATAGAAAAACCACAGAGTTAGAAGGAATACATTGAGACCTTTTGGAATTGCATACACACCTGCCTGTTTCACCCACCAGGATGACCACTTGATGCTTTTCCAAGCAGTAAAGTATTTGATCCCGGTACTGGCGTATGGGCAAACGCTCCCTCTGCAATCATTGAAATTGAATGTGTTTTTTAAGCAAATATTTAAAGATAAGTGATGAGCCCACCTGATCCACAAGTCCCAGGTTGTGATTGGCATTGAATACAAAGGCGGAGGTCTGCTGTTCACCACCTGCATTATCCGTGATTGCATCGTCGGTCTCTGGTTTCAGGAACTTTGGCTTAAAAGTGGTCATTTTCGATTTTGTATTCTGTTTAGGTTTAGTTTTGAAATTAAGTAAACAGCTGATGGAATCAAACACCAAAATACCAAAATGTGTGGAATATGGCTTTATATAGACTTTATGGTCACACTATTATTTGGCGGGAAATTCATCTATATAATGAGTTGAGTCGCCTAAAAACCTCGTTATATCAATTAAACTGAGACTATATAGTGTTCTACCCTAAGTTTATAAAAAAGGCCTTTAGCAGACATAATGATAAAATTTTCACTTTAATATGGTAATATTATAGATCCAACGTAAGAAACCAAAATAAATAAAATATTTTCTACGAATTGGCTGCTAGGATAACAAGTAAATTCCTTTGGTACCCAAAAATTATACTATGTTTGATTTAGTCGACCATTTCATGTACCCCTAAAATGGCAAATGTCCATAACATTCACCTGTATTATTCATGCACATGTTTTTGGCCATTTTGCGGGCACGTTGCAGCACCGACATGTCCCCTATTGCGAGTGAAAATAACTCTAATTGCCAGTGGCAAGGCCACTTGGCTCCTCTGCATACCCTGCAAACTCATTATGTGCTATAAGGTCGCTCTGGCCACGTGTGTGTGTCAAAAGTGTCCCCCGAGTTTTGTGCAGCTGTCGGCAACAGAAGCGCCCAGCCAATTGCTTTTGAATAAATATTGTATCTCTCGAGCAACAAAACACACATTGTTTCGCCCGTTTTCTTTTTTTTTTTATATATATACATACATATATTTTGATTTATGTATCGTCAGTGGGTATTATATGCATGTCGCCAATATTGGGGCGAGTAAGATGGCCGTCGATTCCACCCATCGGCCCCACATGCAAGACCCCTGAATTCTGCATTGACCCTGACATTAAGAACGCTCGCTTTAACTTTAACCCAACCCGACCCGAACCGAACCCATTCAAGCCAAAGCAACGCAAAGCAAAACACGTGCCCGACATGCACGTTTGACCAACCACATCCGCATGCCAGTGCTGAAACAATGGAGCTCTGCTCCACTCGACTCGACTGGACTCCTCGAGCCCAGACCACAGACCCCAGACACCATGGCGTATGAGTAATCCGAGCAAAGCTAATTAAAGGCCAGCGGCGAACTTCAGCCAAGGACGAGGCGCCAAGTCGCCAAAGCCCAGCGAAAGCCGTGCCGTCGAAGCCAAAAACTCTGCGAGCAGTTTGTCAACACCGCCGTTCGCGGAAAGTGCTTCTAGTAAAAGGCACTGGGAGAAATGTTCCTGCTTTCCATTTAAGCTGCTATTACCTTCGTAGGTAAGAAGGTATTTCTCACTATATGAAAAAAAACAATAAATTCACAATGTGTCAAAAACTGTGCTTTAATATTCGCAACTAATTCTCGAATTTCAAATATTAGGATACAATAAAACACGTATGCTTTTAAGTCCGCTGTGTTTCATATGCATATAGATTAGTCATTTCATTTGCGTTCTATGCCACTTAATAGTAGTTATTAAGTTACATTGATGGCTATGGGGGGATGTCACATTTCGCACAGTGTGTATCTTGTCTGGTGGTGTCCAGTTCCAGTTTCGGTTGCACATAAATTTTAATAGATGCGCCCAAGGCCAGAGTTTTACTGTCAAACGACTGTCGGCACTTCACTGCCGGGATCCAAATTCCAATTCCCCCGTCTTTGGGCACCTGACTAAATGCCACAGAACTAAAAGGGCGGCATGAATGCTAACTGTTATTCCGGCTTTTACGAGCAAAGTTTCCTTGGAAATGCCTATGAAGGTACGTTTATTTTTTTCCTATCTATTATAACTATAGTTTCGCGTTGACGACCCTGATTACAAACGCCGGAGTTATGCGTCCTCGACACCCAGCGAGCGGCGCGAAAAGGGGCAGGCGTCATTGTCTTTGCGTGCCGCGATTTGCGTGATTCATGATGCATGTGGCAGGGCGGCAACGTCGCAACTCGAATGCAGCACACACAAAGTGCACTCAAAAAAAACTTGTGGTCTCAAGAATATCCCTAAAGGGCATCCAGTATGTAATAAAAATTCGTTATTCTTTGGTCATTCCTATTATATATTTGTATGAAGTTTTTAAGGGAATTTGGATTTTTTATGATTTTTTGAAAACTCTCATATATGCCAGAGTTTTCGCAAAGTGCATTTAGGAGTGCTAGCACTCCGGGCGTTGTTTTTTGGCGCGTCTTCATGTCTGCTTTAATTACTGGAACTTCTGAAACCGAAACTAGTCCCTGCACCACTTAATGTCAATAAAAATGTCAATTGCACACGCGACCTTGGGCCGCCCGTATGGCTTTCCGGTCAAGTCGGCTGGATTTCGGATGGCATATCACTCCGAACGGCAGCGATTAAAATAGATTTTTTCGGCAACAAGGATTTTCAGGTCCTCACAGCTGAGCGGCGTAAACAAAAACAACAGGCCGCCTGAATTCGGAGAGGTGGATAGAGAGAGAAAAAGAGAGATAGAGAAAGGTGGACAGAAAACGACCGGCTTTGGTGACACGTGCTCCAAAAACTGGCGGCGCTACGTGGCGTATACGTATTGCGCTGACGCCGTGGCCATTTTGCATTGTTTTTTTTAGGTTTTTATACTTTTTGCCTTTGTTGCCGCTAATGTGTTTTGAAAACGCATATCCCAATCCAGTACGGTGTACAGTTACCGCTGGGCAATGGCAACGTGCAAAATAAAAGCCGAACTCCTCATCCGTCTCATCAAGAAGTTGGAGTGAGAGAGTGGCCGAAAGAGAGCCATTCCGATGGGGATGGCAACACCAACACATGAGAGTACCAACACAACTGCAGGGCGAAAGTGGGAGGTAAACAGTGAAAAAGAGGACGAGCGGGCACAAAGAGCACACGCACTGAGAGAAAGTCGCTGGAAATTAAAGTTAATCTCTAAGACATATAATAAATAAATCAATAATTACCGTTCCAAAGAATGTCACTATTAAATTAAAACTGAGCTGTGCAATGCGTATTACTTAAACTATTTAAGCTATTTATAGAAAATATTGCATACTTACCGGGGACAAAGTAGTGGGAATCTGATTGCAATCATTTCTGCAAGTGCAGAGAGAAATGAGCGAATTACAAAGGGTGAGGAGCCTTGCGAGAGCGAATAAATACACGAAGGCGAAAAACACGACGTCGCTGCCACGTTGCAGTTTCCTTCGTTCTCAAATTTGCAAGCGCAGTGGTTTGGGTTAATGATAAATGTATTATTTATGAATTTTAAAATACTTTCAGTATTTTAAAAATGAAGTTTGCAAAATGTTTGAATATGTTTTCTTTAATATTTTCCTTATAACGGAATTACTCCTTTATTGAGATGCAAATTATTATTAATGCATATAATTATTTAATGACAGTGACTCCCTTGAGTAAAATCTGCTAAAATTCTTCGAGATCTGTCTAGAGCGTTCAGAGAAGCATTGGAATCGGCCCACTGTGAGGCGATGGCAACAACAACAGGCAGCGGCGAAAACAGCAACATCTGCTGCTGTTTCGACTGCTGCTGCTGCTGCGGCGCTTTCATGGCTGCTGCTCCTTGGGACGCGAAATCAGTTCGTTGTCGTCAGTCAGCCAGTTCAGTTCAGTTCGGTTTTCGCAGAGGACATCAAGGCAGAGAACCAACAGCCCGAGGAAAATCCATCCAAGGCGAAGGCAACACCAGCAGCGAATTGGAGCAGCAACAGCAACAACGCAGCAGAAGAAGCAGCAGCAGCAGAAGCAACGCAACAGCAAGCAGTCCAGTCCAGGCACAGTTAATGCAAAAAGTTCTCACACCAGTCACCGCAATCGAATTATTCAAACTCGAATTCGATTCCACTGTGCGTGTACCGTTGTGGGTGCGTGTGTCGGTGTGTGTGTGTGTGCGTGAGTGTCCTTGGTTGTGTGTGGCCAAAATAGAAAAAATAATATAAAGCCAAACTGAAGTAAATCAACACTGAGGGCGCCGCCAGGATTCAGCAGCCCACGCAGGACTAAAAAAGGAAGCTGAAATCAGGCCAGGCCGCAGAGGAAAATCAATTTTCTGTTAAAATACATAAATTGCAACGGTAGACGCGTCTCGAAAAGCGAATTGCCGAGAATTGTAGTCGGCTGCAAAACTCCAAAAACTCCGCACCCTTTTCCCCGCCGCCCCTTTGAATCGCCATGAACACACACTCACGCGCGTAGCACACACACACACACACACACGCGCGTACAGAGCAGCAGCGCTTGGACGTTAACGGTAAAAAGAAGAAGAAGACGCCGCCTGGTTAGGCCATCAGTGGAGGTGCAACGGGGGCTAAGGGAGGAGCAGAAAGGAGTGGAGAGGAGAAGAAGAGGAGAATCAAGAGAACTAACTGTAATCTCTGGCGGAGACAGTTCACAACAGTCGCGTCCATCGAGTTAGGCCCACTCAATAATCAATCGACAGAAAAATCAATCACAGCCTGCCGACATCTCCATTCAAAAAAGGCCTAACCAAGAAGCAGCAAAGAATAACTCAGAAAAAAGAACTTCCAGAATTTCCAATAATATAACAAAAACAAAAAAGAAAAAAAAAAAACTATCAACTAAAACAGCCTAAAATAATAACTAAATTTTTCTAATAAAGACATCTGTGATTTGAATATAAAAACGGAACATAAATTTATAAACAACAATTATTTTCATACTGCACTTTTTCAAAACCAACAACAAAATAACTGAAAACAAAATCAATTAATTTTATAAATTTCCAAACATAAATCACATAAAATTTGGTGAGCGTATAAAACAAATAAAAATATAAATTTAAATATATACCGCGCACGCAAAGCTGACACGCCTCGAGGATAAAGTCGAAAACCGCAAAAGCAAGGAGAAAGCAAAGCAAAAGCACCACCACAACCGCCAAACAGCAGAACAGCAGAAGCAAAAGCCGCACCACCAGCCAAGGCAGCCTCAAATTCACACAAGGTCAACGGAATTAATATTTTTTGTAAGTGCACTTCGCAGGCGAACGAAATTGAGGTGGGGAACTGTGCCCTATGCACATTCCTCGGATCGTATC